GCTCGCTCAATTCATTGAACATCGCAGAATCGCCAGTGACGTTCATACACGACATATTTCCACTGTTTTTCTTGCAAACGGCGAGTGAACCCCGCATCAGAACCCAGGCCCTCAAACACGGCCGCCGGTACGTCCTGACAAGCTTCGCGCCGCGGTGATTATTTGAAAGGCGTGCTGGCTAGATGTTGATCGTTTGCAGAGTTCAGATCACGACTACTCCAGTATACATGCATGCTCTGCAGACGCAATTCGGGAGTATACAATACACGCAGCATACATTCTGAACTAACTTGCCACGAAGTCTAAGGGGAGATGCCTCATTGCTCTAGGTCGAACCTCTTCCAAGCATGCTTCTCGTATTCCTTGATCTTTGTTCTGCGCTTTTTCGGCCTGGATAGTATATGATATCAGTACAAAGCGTCGGGAAACGTAAAGATAAAGAGACACGTACATCACAGGTACCCTGGGTTCGATGATAGCGCGATGCTGCATACTGAGAAATCGGTCGCGAAACAGGTTCCCCTCCGGCTAAAAGTGAATAGATGCCCCGTGAATACACGGACACTTTCCCAAGTTGGATCTCAACACACCTTCAGGGCGCGTAGACTCTCGCTCAGCTCGTCCCCGAGCTGCACATCCACCTGTCCCTCAGGCACGCGGTGCTTACCGATTTTCTGCCCCACAAGTCCTTTTGTAAGCTTCTCTCGCGCCTCCTGCTCGCGCTGCGCACGCAGCCGCTCGCGTTCAGCGTGCGTCCGACCTAAGGACCTGCGCATAACCTTGGCGGAGTCTACCGCCGCGAGCATCCGTTTTCGCGCCACCCTCTCGGCCAGCACACGTTTCTATACCTCCATTAGACACCGCGTAATCCCACCTTCAGAAAGATGGCTAACACACCTCTGCCTTCTGCCGCGCTGCTTTCTGCCGTTCCTGCCGTGTCTTCCGCACCGGCATCCTCCTCGCTATAGACGCTTCGGTCTCCGCCTCCCCGTCCGCGTCATCCTCCGGCGCGTCCGCTCCAGGCTTGTCGACTGTCATCCCCGGCGCAGCGTCCGCGTTCGCAGTCTCCAGAACTGCAGATTTGCGCGCCTCTTCGAGCCTCGCCTTCACCGTGCTGAGTTCCTCTGCCGCTTTCACGCGGCGCTCCTCGGCCTCGTGCGCGGAGCGCAACAGCTCCTGGTGCGACGCGAATAACGGGTTGTACGATGCACCCTCATGCGGCGGCGGCACCGCTGGGAGCATGATCGCAGTGCGAGGATGCGGCGTGCGCGGGTGCTGTGCAATTGTTTGAGATTAGATATGCAGGATGTTCACGGACGGTTGGACGTGAAGCGTACCTTGATGCTGGGCCCCTGGGTGTCCAAGGGAGCGCTCCACACGTCGTACCCGCCGCTCTCGCGTGCAGCCTCGCTCACCTCGAGCATCGCACTTCCCGCGCCAAGCTCGGTCGGGTCCATTACGGCGTCGAACGGCCCGCGGCGGGCGCGCTTGCCCATGCGGAGCAGGCGACCCTTCTCCTCGTGCGTGAGCAGCCTGCGCTTTGGTGATGGTGCGATCGTGCGCGAGAACACGGCAGGGACGGCGGAGCGTTGGGCGAGTATTTTCGTGGAGGTAAGCTGTTCTCGGGAGAATTTTGGAAACGCTTTTCGGACTTGTGACGAACGATGTCAGAGAGTACAAGGAGTGAGGGGGGAAGGCTGAGCACCTCTGTCGTCGCCTTTAACGTCCACTTGAAACAGCTCGTCGTTTGTCTGCTTTTGTAGGATGGTCCTATAGCACGCGCTATATTAGCATATATCGACCATTGTCCTCTTGGGCTTGATTTGAGCATGTCTACGCGCATATATGCATGCTCAAAATTCAAAATTCAAATGAGAACACACACCCAGTGACCCGCTCCTCTGCACGAAGGCCCTCCATGCCCTCCTCTACATCCTCGATGTCGACGTTCTTCCGCCATGCGCGCTTGCCCTTCCGGCTGCCCTGATTGCGTTGTGCGGGCGCACCAATGGAAGACAAGGTTTTCTTTGCATTCAAAACAGAAGCTGTAGACTTGGACTTGGTAGCAGTCATGATGGCGCAGCTGAAGGAGATCGGAATGGCAGTCGACGACTTTTTCCATTGCCAGAAAAGGCAGTCGACAATATGAGGCGTTTGCCGAAACATATCAGATCTCTTAGATCCGGTGCAGTCGCACCAACGCATGCGCAGAAACATCATATGGATATAATGAAATGTCTCTTTCATTGCAGCAGGAAAAAGTTCCGAATCTATGTACGCAGCCAAGCCGTCTTTGCAATTTTCTTCAACCTCTTCTGCTCCTTGAACCGTTCCTGCCGCCGCACCGTTAAGCACCGGTCTATCACACCAAAAGTTAAAGCGAGAGCATACCAGATCCTTCTTTGTGGGCCGCTTCCGCTTGCGCCCCTCTTCCTCCTCCTGCGCTTCCTCTAGCTTCCGCGCCTCGACGTCCTTCTCCCACGCGCCAACGTCGAAGTAGAACTCGCTCATCCGCTTCGCGCGCTCGTACTCGGATAGGTGCGTCGGATCGCGCGCGTCGGGCCGCGCAAATGCACCCGTGCGAGAGTTGAACTTCGCAGTGTACGTGAAGGCGCCCGGCGCGGACGGCCCCGCAGCGAGCGATGGATCGAGGTACGCCAGAGACGGGTCGATACCCTGCGCCGCCGCCGCCGCCTGGAGGTCGTACATCGCCTGCGTCGAGGCCAGCACTGACATGGACGCAGCCGCAGCGCCCTCAGTGGGAGCAGGCGAGGACGAGGACGCGGGTGAAGACGCGGATGCGGTGTCAGCAGCGGACTGGAGAGGGTTGGTCCATGTCGTCTCCTGGGTCGCGGCGTTGTAGAAGTAGTAGGCGTTGTGTGCAGGCGACCAGACCGCCTGCCAGGCACCCGCTGAGGCGGTTGGCGGATGCGAAGCTAATGCTTGAGAGGTTGATGCCTCCGAAGCAGGCGACTCGGACTTGCTCAGAGTCTCTGTCTCTTTGCTCGATGAGGCTTGAGCTGCCGGCTGCTCGCTGTCTGTATCATGATTATCAGCTCTGGCCGGAGACGTTGCCGAGTCTGGAGCTGGAGATGGGCTAGCGGAGGAGGTCATCGTCGTCCGTCGTCGTCAAAAGCAGGGTAAAGTTCGCTTCAAACTCCGATACCGTACAAGAAGTGCACTGCCTGCACCGGCGCTGTGGCACTTACAAGTCACCCGCCCCATACCCGCAGTCGCAGAACAGTACCCTCTCCTTCAAGGTCGGTTTGCCGCCCATTTCAATGACCTGGAGTAGCTCATGATGTTTGCAGAATCGTGCATCGCTGTTGAGCGCATTATTTCATAGAATAATCGGAGTGAGTCCTACTGTGCACATTGGGTTGTCCCAAATTGTATCAGCACGCTGATACTTATCGCAATCCTGTCCCTATTGCTGTCTGACCCATCCATTTATTTCGGTGCAGCATCGATACTTTGTCTTTCATACGTCGCCGTGGACATTTATACCGCGTTCGCCACCCAGCATCCACCATGAGTAACTCACCCGACCACCCACACTACATTCCTATCCCGCCCTTACGCTCGGCAATGAAACATTCGTCTTCGCGTCCCTCAACCCCAGCCTCTCAGCCAAATTGTTCCCCCCTCCTCTCCCGCACCGCACTGCCCTCATCCTCACCCCAGACTCCGTTCCTGTCCGCCTCCCCTCCCTCGGACGGGCTCCCGTCGTTCCTAACAACACCCAGCGCCTCCGCGCCTGTCCTCTCCATGACGCCCTCCATATCACCGGCACTGCCCTCCACTCCGCCCTCGCCACTCGTCGCTGCACAGGGGTACACGCCGAAGGTGTCCTTCGACACGCTCGAGAACCCCGCGGCGAGCATGTTCTCGTACACGCTGCACGTGCAGAGCGCGGGCTACGCCCGCACGCGCGGCACGCGCGTCTTTCTCTGCGCGGCGAGCCACGACGAGAGCGGCAGCCGCGCGCTCGACTGGGCGCTCGACGCGCTCGTGCAGGACGGCGACGAGCTCATCGTCTTCCGCGGCGTCGATACAGAGGAACTCGGTGCGTCCCACGCACGCCCCATCCGCGTCCCAGTCTGACACCACGCCGCGCAGAGAAGGACCACGACCTATACCGCGAGGACGCGCGCGAGCTCATGAAGCAGATCCAGGAGAAGTGCGTCGACTTCGACGCGGAGCGCAAGGTGCCGCCGCTTCCCCGGACTCGTCCTCGTGTGTGTTCTCACATGCGTCTGCTAGCTCTCGATCATCGTGGAATATATCGCGGGCAAGGTCCCGCTAACGATCGACCGGCTCATCTCGCTCTACCGCCCCGATTCCATCGTCGTCGGCACGCGCGGGCAGCGCAGCATGATGCAGGCGTGGGGCGCCGCATTCGGCGCGCCGGGCGTCGGCAGTGTCTCCAAGTGCGTCGGCCACCCTTCTCCCTAACACTGTTACATCCGCCGCTGACGCTGTCCGCCCTTCTTCCAGATACTGCCTCAGCCACTCGCCCGTCCCCATAATCGTCGTCCGGCCCGAGAGCAAGGTGCGCAAGACGATGGCGAAGCGCCGTGCGGACCCGAAGCGCGGGTCCCACTTTGACGAGTTCGTCCTGTTCTTACGACTGCTCCGTGTCCGACGCTGACGGCCATGTCACAGCGTGAACAAAGCGCGGGCTAATAATAATGGGGCCCTCTCGGTCCCGATGTTCTCTACGATGACCAGATAGTATATTTATTTTGCGAATAGTCACCGGGTTGTCCCTGTATGTTTGGAACATGGGTTCGTGATGCTGATTCTATTGTATCGATACGTTGTTACCTTTACCGCCAGAGCTCCTGATATGTACCGTAGTGAATATGTTGGATGGCAACTTGTGGGAGCTGTACATGCCACTTGCAAAGCATATCCACAACCGTGTCATAGTGAACCTGATAAGTAACACCGCTGCACCGGGGTAAAAATCAATTGTGACGTCGCGATCAAAAACGACATGCATTAAGGGGGAATCGAACCCCCGGCGGGTCGAACCAGAATTCAGTTCAGAATGGCAACGACCCAGGTTACCACTACCCCATTAATGCGTTGATATTGCCACACATAAGACAAATATATCCTCACTTGGTTCACTAGTTAAGTACTGGGAGTCATTAGCCGTACTCAATTCTATTTTTTATTCCCACTTTATTTCGTGATGCTGAGGTCTGATGAAGTGTGCGAATAAAATCAATAAAGCGATCGAGCCTGATGATGGAGATCTAAGAGTCGGAGCTTGAAGACAATTCAACTTACGGTCGCGCTGTGCTGAACGACGTCGACAAGGCTGCAGCATCTGAACGTTCTCAACGTCGACACTGGCACTCCGCTTCCGGCACCTTTTCTTCTATGCCGGCAGTACGCAGCGAGCGTGCGCCTCAAAGCCGTCAGCGCGTCCGCCAGCAGGATCGCGAACTTGCTGCAAACCACCGAGCTGCCAATATCGAAGCTCTCGCAATCTGTATGATTGCAGATGCCGAAGACGAGGATGAAGAGCTTACTGCAGTCCTCATGACCATGCTGGCTGAGACCGAAAGGCAGCAAGGGCGCAGTGGGAAATATGGTGCCCGGGGATCTTACAACCAGCCAAAGTCAGTGGATTTTCTGGAGAATATCATCTTCCGGTCCTCGAAGAGGTGGTTCAAGGCATGGGTTAGGTGTGCAATCAGATATCATAAGTCTTTCTTTTCTGACTACTGCTAGGATGGACCGCGAGGCTTTCTGGAAGCTCCACGATTTAATCCTCGAGGATCCCATCTTTCAGAGTGCAGGCAGGCGGCCCCAACGACCTGTTTACATCCAGCTCGCCACATTTCTATGTCGTGTGGGAGGAGAGATAGGTGTCAAAGCCGCTGGATTTGCATCAATTGCAGAAGGTACTGTGTATCTGTACACACATCGAGTGTGTCGTGCGATGCGCAACATACGAGACCGGTTCCTCGCTTGGCCTGGTGAGAGTCGTCGCGAGTTTCTTTCAGAGGCAATGGGTACTGGTTGGGGCTTTCCTGGGTGTATTGGCATGGGTGATGGGAGCTATGTCCATCTCCAGGACAAGCCAAGGAGAAATGGGTATTCATACTGGTGCCGAAAGAAATTCTACGCGGTATAGTGGATTGTCTCTTACAACTTGACTGTTGAGCACTAATGCAACAATCTTTGACAGTTGACTATTCAGGCAACCTGCGACCATCGTGCCATCTTCACATCATATGATTTTGGTTGGCCTGGCTCTGTTCAGGACAGTCGTGTGTTCCGCCGATCACATCTTTGGCTGCATCGAGACGAGTACTTTGAGCCATATGAGTATATTATTGTGGACAAAGGTATGTACTCATTGTATGCCTGCTGGTGAGAACCTGGCACTGATAAAGACCTAGGATATCCACTCACCAAGTTCTCAATCAGGCCATTTGTTGAGGTAGACCTCACAGATGATCCTGAAGAAGCACACCGTCGTCGTCGTTGGAACAGGAAGCTCTCATCCCTGCGTATTTTTATCGAGCATGCATTTGGACGACTCAAAGGACGCTTCCCTATCCTCCGCTTCATGCCAGGGAATGATCTCACTGAGATATACCGCATCATTGAATCTCTTATGGTTGTCCACAACTTCCTGGAGAGCTTTGGAGATGATCCTCAGTCCATCACTGGGTACAACGGAAAGGAGGATGATGATGTTGATGAGGTTCGAGGGGCAGCTGCCGAACGTCTGGATATGGAGCTGGATGGCGATGACTTGTATCGTGCTGGGCTATTGCGACGCAAACATCTTGTTGCACTCATGGAAAATCTAGTGTAACTGCTCATAACACTCCTATCCACATCTACCACAAATTATACTACATGAAATCTAGGCTAAAATTATATGAGAAGCATACTTCTGAAGACAATAAAGTGACTACTACATAGCCGATTAAAAGAACCTTGATTAGAATTTAAGAACTCTTCAAAAGACGTTTACCCTCCTCTTGAACCTCGGGATCCGGATGCTTCATCATCTCCAATGCTTGAGCACGTTCCTTCATACGAAGCTCACGCTTTTCAAGCTCGAGCTTGGCATGACGAGCAGCTCGTTCTGCATCACGGTCCTCGCAGTCACGTGCATCTCGGGCTTTGGCCAATGCCAATTGCTCCTGAGCAACTGCCTCAGTGCTACGAGCACGCATTTCCATTGTCGCCACAACCCTATTCAAGACTTCACCTGTCTTCAGATCCTCGTCAGGCCCAGCGCGCCTAGCACGCTTGCTTCGGGACGAAGACTCATCTCCTGACACATCAGCGGCAGAGTTGAACTCGCGGTCACGCACGACAGAATTATCTTTCTGTGCACTGTTCCAATAAGGTCAGCTTGAATGGAAACTGAATGCAAAGGCAGGTACACACACTCGATCAATCAGGTCATACAACCCGGAGTTTAAGAACTCCTCCAAGACCAAATGAGAATAGCCCGAGCGGCCTTTCAGATTCTGGCTGATCTCGCGCTTGCGCTTGCGAGTACGTTCACCATATTCATCGAGCTCCGAATCACCGGCATCCGAGTCGTCCCCATCTCCACCGCCGGTATGCTCCACGAGATTCTCGCGGCAAGCCTTGTATTTGTCATAGGCTTGGTTGTTCCAATAGTTCTGGACTTGTAAGGGGGTGACACGGCCATGGAGAATTGTTTGTGCAAGCTGTATTAACAATTGAGACATCTGCGCCCGCAGCAGATCAAATACAAGACTCACCTCCCGAAAATATTGACCCGACTTGAGGCGCAAATCCGTCCAACGTTTCTCCTCTGTAATGTACTGCACAACGAGCAGCTTCTCTTGCGGAGTAAGCCCTCGGGTTCCTTGGCCTTTGATACTCGTAGCTTCCTCCTTCACCGCGTCACTGAGCTTGCTGATCTCGTCGTTGGAAGTCCCTCCAGTTCGACGATTCACCCTGCCGCTCTTCGCACCCTTGCCGGTCACCCTTCCAATGCCTCGCGCCTTCTTCGTACTGTTCCCACGAGCCTGCGTGGATGGTGGAGCCCGCACTCTCTCCTTCGTTTTCACACCCTGCCCTTGCTGCGGCTTTGACTCGGACTTCGGCTCTGGCTCTGGACTGGGCTCCAGGAACTCGACATCCAAGTCTCGGCTCGGAGAACTGATGTCCCCACCTATATCCTCCCGGGTCGGACTATGAGCATGAAGCTGCGAAGGCGATGAGCGACGGCGGGTATCTGCTCCAGCAGTAGGTGGAAGGAAGAGTGGGGAGGAGTCACGGTCTCGGTGAGCTCGAGAGGGGGTTGCAGCGGATGGCGCACCAGTCGCAATGTGCATACTCACCCTCCGAGCCTCCAGATCCTGTTGCTGCGTCACCGGTATGTGGCCGTATTCATGCCTCGATGCGGTGTCGCCATGAATACGATTGGTCGCCGCACCAGGGGCAGGCAGACTGCCTTTGCCGTACAGCCCATACCCGCCCATCACCTCGCCTCCGCCCTGTGTCGATGTCACGGGCGCACGGCGAACACCACGCCCGGAGTCCCATCCCCCACCTGCACCACCCACGACATATGCACTTGCACTGGCAGTGCCCGGGTCTGTGAGACGGCGGTCGTGTTTCGGAGCCGGCCGCAAAGAAACAGACGCGTTGCGCGTCGCAGACGCCGCATATCCTCCACCGGCGGGCAATCCACTGACCTCTGCGCGCGCCACCTCGCGCACGTGTAAGCCATTTTCGTCTGGGCGGGGTATGGCCGGTGCGTTGCCGTGCAACTCGTGCGGCTGGAGGATGCCACGGCCGGCGTCATGCACTGCACCCACTCCCTCCCTCACATACACGGCCGCGGCACCCTTCTCCTGACGCGGCATTGCGTCTCCTTGCAATCCTGGACCACTTCCCTGCGCATATGCGGGCGCACCATCGGGCCTGGCACGAATCGCAGGCACCGGCGCATACATGGACGCGCCGTTGGACCTGTCGCGCGTCGAAGACGCCGGCGCGTAATTGGGGCCTGCGGGACGGAAATCGAGGGGTTGGGATTCATGGTAAGTGGTAGCTTTGTAAATGAGCAACATACCATGCTGAGAAACACCTGCTTCCACCTCCTGCCATCCTACACCTGCTTCCACCTCCTGCCATCCTACACCAGATTCCGAGCCCAAGTACGGAGGCGCGTCCTGCGCGGAAAGATGGAGTGGCCCCGAAAAATCGGGAGCCGGAATGGTGGCAGGGTCGAAGGGCGATAGCGGCGCACTCGCCGTACGGGGATACCGGTGCGCACGAAGTCGTTGGGGAGAACGTTGTAGGAAGGTGCCGTTCGACGGTTGCGGGAACGGTGCTTGGTTCTTGTCGCGGCTGCTTCGGCCCTGTGCGGTTGAGTCGTGTCCGTAAGACTGGTATGGCGGGAAGATCCAGTCTTCGTTCATTGGGAAGCCTGCCTGAGGTTTCAAGCACGAGCAAAGGTGTATATTCCGAGTCGTACACTGTGCTCGGACTTGGTTCTGTCGAGTACACTAGAGGTTCAATCCCAGCAGACTCCGAAGCACCGTACGCATGGATAAAGTAGGAATAAAATGGACGGCTCAATTCCTGATCTTTTATTTGATCCCCATCACTCTCTGCCACGAAATAAAGTGGGAATAAAAAATAGAATTGAGTACGGCTATTATCATTATATCAAGCAGACACGATGTTGCTAGCCTCCGTTGCCGACTAAACGGTCATGGAAAACAGTTGTTCCAAACTATATACGACGTGACATGATTTTGCAAAGCAGCAAAAAGCCAAAAGGATTCTAACATCATCTCCTATGCATTAAGGGGGAATCGAACCCCCGGCGGGTCGAACTTAGTTCGAACTGGCAACGACCCAGGTTACCACTACCCCATTAATGCTTATTGAACATTTTTGTAGTGGGATATTCTACCGTAGAACGACGTAAAATCCCGTACAGCGAGAAGGAGTGAAGCTAAAACATATGTTACACAACACATACAATGTTTACTTTCGCCCACCAGCCCTCGTCCTCGCAACCCTCGCCCCAGCAGCGCTTCTGGCGGGCGCCACCTCCGTCTCT